TCATCAAATTTCTAAAAGAAAAAGTCACTAAAGTATACCAAGTTGTTAGATCAAAATTAATTCAACCACCCAATTAAACCAAAAGGGCCACTTAGTCTTGTATAAATGTCCTCCAAACTGCAAAAAGCAAAATTGTATAATATATGATATACAAATATATCCCTGGTGGATGTGCAGTTTTGCCTGGTACTTCTCCTTCACCCCACAGGGAACCAGGACCTGGGATTCCTCAACCTCAAGCATGCATACACAGCAAGTGTGCAGGTCTACTTTACATATCCACTGAGAATCTGTGTGAATCTTCTGAGAAAGAAAGAATACCTCTAAAAAGGCATGCGACCAAAAATTACCCAATTCCAGAAAGGCCTCGGACGTGGATGGGCCCTAAAGTATAAACAGCATTATAAAAATTTTGTAACATCCATTTTGAAAATCTAAACCTTGCAAAAAAATAATTAATGGAATTTGAGTGTTATTAATATTCATTTTGAGCCTCCACAAATCTGTTGTTTTAAGTAACACACAACAGTTCTCTCAAACATAAATAAAAGCCTCAAATTTACTAATCTACACACAGCCCAAAATGTAAGTGACATGATGAAATATTAGTTCCATTCCTCAAATATGGATCAAAGCACACAGGTCCATTAACTGAGCAGTGTCTGTCTAGTGCAGAGTAATTGAACAGCCTCCAGATTTAGGACACTAGGCAAAAAGCTAACACAGTTCAGGCCAATACATCCAAAATCTGCATCTCCAAATCAGTCTTCAAAATAAGTTGCAAAATTTCATAGACCCCAACAAATTTTAAATCAAACCACTCTCTTCCTAGGAGAGGACAGGGTTAAATAAATGAAATGATCATCTTTTCGGTTTGCCTGTCATATTGGTATTTATCCTGTGGAAATAAGTGAGTTCCTATTTCAGAAGTCATTTTTTTTAGATACACTTTGCCCCAAATTATAAAGTAATAAAGTCCATTCATAAGAAATAGAACTGACAACTTGCCCATTCTATTACACCTGTTTTCTTCAAAATGCGTCTGTGTCTAATAAAACTACCTAATGAGTTTATACTAAGAGTCTTCTCTACATTGTCTTACATTTTTAAAATCAGTTCTCAAACCGGAATTAATACTATTTTTATACCAGCCTGAAGATGTTATTCTCTCAATCCTAATGAAGGACCACGATATTTAGAGGGTAGGTACATTAGTAAAAGTGTCTAAGTGTGACCTGGATTATTTCCATATCCATAACACACTTCTGATACAATATGACACTGGGGAAAATGGAACAAGTATAAAAACCCTTGCCAAAAATCCATTCCTAAATGTAGATAAAAAACAAAAGCAAAGAAAAAAGAGGGACTAGGGTTTATCATTATAGACCCAAGGTAAGAATACGTCGCTCCCTGGAACATAGTTATCGATTTTGTGTTACTATAAACGTAAATTTAAGTGATAGCTGACTTAAAAGAGCAGGTGCCATGAACAAAAAACAAATTGTCAAAATAAGTACACAGAAGTTGGGATCCCCAATGAAAACAGTTTTCAGGCATGCATAATTTCACCCCAGATAACCTAGGAAAACAGAAAACTGGATAGATGTTTCTGTTACATTTTCCTTGTTTTTTAAATAATAGGCCTTTTTTGTGAACCACAGATGCCAACTCTACCTCTTCTGACGGCAGAGCAGCCAGCCAGCCACACCTCGGCAAATAGATCAATTTAAGACACAAAAATTTCTTTACAAGATTTAAAATCTCCGATAGGGTACGATTTCATGGGGAGGGGAAGTGGGGAGTGATGTTAAGCTAAAATGCATCTTATACCAATTTTAAGGTGATCAGACTGTAACTTCCTGCTTTGTAAGCCAGCTAATCACTTTTCTTTTAATGGTAAATAAGGCTGTTTTTAAAATTACATTATATTGTATTTTATAAAACTAAAGTTAAAACAGCATTAATGGAATTCAGCACCAATGTGGACATCATAAAACCTTAGTAATGTGAGCAGACCTCAGTATTTCTTTTGAAACTGCTCTATCTGAATACTTTATCTCACAAAAACCCAAAACAAACTATATCGCAAAATGGCTTATTTCACTTTTTAAAAAGACCCTCCCGCTACAATATATGCATATGTTTTGTTCTCAATTACAAAAACATCTGCCACCCAATATAAACCATTCCTAAAATCAAAAATGAAACTAAACGTGTTAAAAGCCACAAGAACATTTCATCATTTAACAACGTGATTTAATAGTATTTTATGACCTATACTTATGTAGTAATTTAATATTTTGGACAAATGACTGTTTCTTAGTATAATTATCATTACAAATACTAAATAACACCAGCCTTCCAAAAAGAAAAAATATAAAAAAGACACATTCCACATGTTATCCGATAAGGTACCTAAAAGAAATCTGTGAATCTAGGTCATATGCCCGTCATTTTTCTTCCCCATCAAAAATAAAAAAGCTATTCCCAAGGGTCACACTGAGGACATAATGGATTCACTCTCATTCCAAGAAAACAAAATACTTAAAATGATTGGTACCATTAAGAAATAATACTCTAAAGTAACACAGACCTACAGCTGCCTCTGTCGTCCCTCCTTTCTAGCTTACAAAGATGTGAATTTTAAACTGTCCCTTTAAAAGCAAGCTGACAAAACAAATCTTTTTAAAATTAATTACATGGGTTTATTTACACAAGGTTTCTATGTTTTAATTGTGCAAATCAAAAGTAAAAATTGAAATCGCAAGTTTTCTATCAAGAATAGGAAATATATTATTATTAAAAGTACAACTCCCCTAACTGAAGATTTGAAAGCAGTGGACACTAACGTCCTCAGCCTGGGATTCACATGATTATCTGTTAAATTAAGTCCTGCAATCACTCTGATAAGTCTCTCCTCTAAGATATGATTTTTATTAAAATACACCTTCCTAAAATAAACGAGCTGTGTAAAAATATATATTACAACCACTGTTATTCCTTTGTAACAGATGAGAATTTTAAAAACTTTCATAGCATTAAGATGCCTATGAAAGAAAAATTATTTGGAAGACACACACCCAGCACAACTTGCATGCAAGTTTCCCTAATACACTGTGTAAGCAGCTCAAATAAGGCTCACATTACCTAATCTAACAAAATAATCAAGGAAAAAAAAAAAAGATTCCTGGGGCATTTCTGTATTCTCCAAATCAGAAGCAAATATAAAATGATTTTTAGTATTTCACAAGAATATCCACTTTTTCCCTTTTAACTAATTGTTGTCTGCCAAAATCATTATATAGTTTCCTCATGTCACGTTTTTTAAATATAATGTCAACTCTAACTAAAGCTCTTCATCCACAAACATCTTAAAACGGTCCGAATTGTTAACACACCAATTACTGGAAATATAGCTCCAATCTTGTTATAAAGCTAATGAAATATCACTGAAAGACATTGCTGCATATCAGAATCTTGAAATTCTTAATGTTATAACTTTTAATTTTATATTAAACTACATGCGCTAACATAATTCAAAATTTTTCATAGTTTAATCTGTGAAGAGTACTTTTATAAAAGCTTTACAAATCCAAAAATTGGTAAAATTCTTGTTTAATTATTTTTCAATTGCCATATCCTCACCCTACAGTTAAAGTCCGTGCTATATGCAACGTCCATCTCAAGATTGTCAAAGGCCTGAATTTTGTTAAATGCCCAATCCTGGACACCAGCGTAATGTTTTTATGTATTTAATCCTCTTATTAATAACTATGATTCATAATAACTTAAGCTTTAAATAATATTCAACCTTACATCTGCTTGTAATAGAGCTCAGTTATTATTTGTGGCAAGAATTTTTGTGACTGTACTCCTCAGCACTTCTATTTACATCAGCAGTGCTAAATGCCCAATGGTGAGAGGGGAGCCAATCAGATGGCAGATTAGATGTCAACTCGGAGGCTGCTGTCTGGAGACTATTACAGCCAGTTTACCTCCACAATTCAAATTCCAAACCTTGCAAAGGAGATCAAGTCAGTCTTTAGGCTCAGCCTACGAGCAAGAAACAGCAAGAGCGCAGGACACTTCCTAATAACGCTGTAGGACTCGGGTGACAGCAAATTCAAGAAAATCCAAATAAATCCGATCCCAAAAGATCCATTTTCACTGCTCTGCTATTTTCCTGGACTTGCTGAATAAAAAGTGTGCCTCGTCCATGATCAAAATAAGTTCAATTTAACCGGAATGTGTTCCTTGAACACAGCCTCTCTGTTGAAGGTGACTCCTTTCAAGCAGCCTGGGCCAAATAATGGATTTCCTGGCTCTTCTTAGGAACGAATAGCTATATTTTAGAATATTTTCCCTCCACATCGTCGTAAATGCGGGTCTCATTTTTGCTACCGAACCGTCAAACTCAAAGCCCCGCATCGAATGTCTCGGCATGGCTGGGCAGAACTACGGAAAACATCCTCGGAGGCCACAAAGCTAACCTATTTTGCCTGCCTCCACCTTGTAAGCTAAGAGGGAACGCAGTGGGGCCGGAGGGAGGACAAAGTTCCCCCTTCTTTTCCCAGTTCCAGCTTATTGTTGGCGCTAACCGGGAAGACCTGGTCAATATCTCCGTCCAGCCCGCACCGGCCGGGAGCGCCTATTCGGTTACAAAAGCGCCGCGCCGTCCCCGACTCCCGCACGCGGGCCCCGCGCCTGGGCCGGGGTGGCGAGGCGCGGCTGCTCGGCCACCGGGAACCCCGGCGCCCGGCCCGGCCCGCGGCGAGACCCCCTCCCAGGCCCCGGGGTCCCCCGGCCGCGCGCCCGGACATCGTGCGCTCCCCGGCCTCCGAGGGAGGCAGCCGCGAGTTAAGATGGCTTTGGGCGCCTCGCCCCCGCCTCCCCCGGCAGAGGACGCGGAAAAAGTACGCGGAAAGAAAGAAACTAGGGCTCGCGGCGCGCGCCCAGGCCGCCGCGGCGGAAGCAGGCCCGGCCGGCGCGGGGGTTACCTGCGATCTGCCCATGGTCGGGCCGGGGGTGCCGGGGCTCATCGCCGGGTGGCTCCTTTGTTGCGCGGCCGCCCAGGCCGGGCTGGCAGCGGCGTACTGGGCGCCCATGTCCTTGCCCAAGCCCATGCCCGCGGCCGCCTGCTGGCCGCCCGCC